GGGTGGGTGGGTGGGTGGGGATCACACCGCACTTACGGATAGGAGTTCATGCCCTGTATACTGACAGCTACGTGTGTGTGGCAGTCAGACATGGGTTGGGGTCGAGGGCTGGTTTCCTCTCCTTATTTACATGGCTTCACTCTGGGGACGTAGTGCTCAGACATGGGCTACTGTAGGGTCGAGTATTAAATGGGTACGCTGTGGTGTAGAGAAGGATCCCTGGAGACGGAGGGTCCTGGGGTAGAGGTCGGATACTAGACAGATGACAGTCACCCACATCTAGCGGTTAATTCCAGATGGGATCGAACCCATGCCCTGTAAACTAACAGCTACTTGTGCTTACCATCCAGACCTGTAAACTGACAGCTTCCTGTGTGTAACATTCACACCTGTAAACTAATAGCTACCTGTGTGTATCATTCAGACACGTGTGGGCTGGGTCAGACGATGTTTTTTTTTCTCAGGTTTCTAACTTGTGCTCGCAGGTTTCGAAGTCCCGCTCTGACTACTAACTGCTACGTGTCATCTGTCTATACCGTTTAGCCACGTGCTTTGGATCAGCGGAGGGGGGAATGATGAAATCCAGTAAATGTATGAAAATAGAAGGTAGATTTCTTATGGTACTGAATCATTGTAAGTACATTATGGTATTATAACGATCGGTAAACTAAGTTGGTACGTACAGCCACTGTAGCTGTATCTTCGTCGTCATTTCGACCCATTTCTCCTTTTACCCATGTCACCCTGGCTCCGACGCAATGCAATTTCTCCGTGTGATGCCAGACGACCCATTTCTCCTTTTACCCATGTCACCCTAGCTCCGACGCAATGCAATTTCTCCGTGTGATGCCAATTAAGTCTTCTCCGTGTGATTCCAATTGTAACAGGTATTTCGAATGAGGACGGATGGGTTCAGAGTATCTCTGTGTGGTTCCCATCAAGTCAGACTCTTCTCAGCTCTCGAAGTCGAGCTGCCTCTATCAAGGATGCTTTCTTTCTACCCCTGAAGCAGCATTGGCCTTGGGGGGTAGGTCTATGGTCCTCTGCGTGCCGGATTTGGGGTCGAAGTTTTGAGGAGGGCCGGAGGATGAAGGCCATGCAGGGTGGGGAGTGTGCAGAGGGGCGCGCTTACCGAAATGTTCACAGCGCACCATTAAAAGAGAGAGCGCGGCCACGGGGCCGGGCGGCGGTGGACATAGATGTGAGGGCCTTTTTTTCTTTTAGCATTTTCGTTTTTGGCCTGTCTATTCATTTTTGCTTTTCTTTTCTTTTTGTTTCGTGGTGGGCGTCGTTCCTCTTTTTTTTTCCCGCTTTTTGTTTTTTCTTTTCTTTTTGTTTTCCCGTGGGTGTGTCCATGGGTGTGTCGTGTTGTAGGGTCTGATCCCACCACTACACTACGACTGTAGTAGCCAAAAAGCACTACAAAGATGTCAGCGGTCGTGGCGGGCCGAAAAAGAAAAGTTGGATCCCACCAGGGCGACTTCTTCGGTGCTTTTCCTGAACCCGCGGCGGTTCTTTGTGGGCTGTTGCAGAGGGCAGCCAATCGAAATGCTGCAAACGGAGGAAAGACCAAAAAAAAAAAAAAAAAAAAAAAATGCTCCCTCTTTTTCGCTGCAGAGATGCCCTCACGGCCTACACAAAATTTGTAGCAACTACGCTTGCACAATTCGGGGAGGTGCTGCCACGACACATACAAACCGGGGAGGTGCTGCCACGACACATACAAACCGGGGAGGTGCTGCCAAGACACATACAAACGGAAGTATGGCAAAATATTTCGGCGGCTGCGACGAAGTCGGAAAGTGGTGGGATCCGCAAACTACAGTGTAACTGGGCTGTAGGGTTCCCATAGTTTGCCAGCAAAAATACCGCGTTTTGCCCAGTTTCACAGCGAAGGACCCCTACGCCTCTGGCCTCAGGGACTCAGGGACTCAGGGACTCAGGGATTTTTTTTAATTTTTTTTTTTGGGAATGACCGATGCATCTGGGGCCTGGACCGACTAGCCATGCGTTACGCTTGGAGGCTGGGCTTTCGATCACCGTGTGGCCCAGGGTGACGCAAAACAGCCGCCCCCTCCACATCAATGTGATGATGTTTACGAGTCGGGCGAGCGTTTTTCCCGGCTGACGGCCAATAGGAAGTTTTTCTTTTTTTTTTTTGGTGTTTTTGTTGGCCACTTTCCATTGGCGCGAAGCTTCAATAACAACAACTTTTGACCCATGGGGTGATATCCAAGCGTTGCGCCGACGGATTTTCGCTTGGAAAGTCTGAAAAAAATGACGAATGGAAGTAATAATGGTATCGTTTTTGTGCAGTGCCCACAAATAAGGGCGAGAAATGTGAAGTCAGTGCATTCCTTTCAATCAGATGCACAAAACCTAATATGCGTCTACATTTCGAAAACATGGTGGTACGTTGCCGACAGAAGTGTCCAGGTGCGGATACAGACATGAGTACCTCTTGGCCGACCCACGTCCGTACTTTCCCGATCGGGAAAGTTGGCATTCTCGGCCCCTTACCAAAAATGGAAAGGACTCGGGGACACAGGCGCGGATGTCCGTTTTTTCCTGTTTTTTAAACACATTTCGCATGCCACACACCGTTTTACACTGGGGCGTGGTCCCACATGCACCGTTTAGTTGAGCAAGCTCAACGGTGTGACACACCAAAAAGCTTTTTTTAAATAGAAAACAAATGGAAACATAAATGAAAATGGCTTGTAGTATTATTGTGTTGTTTTTTTTTCGCAATAGTTTTGTATATCGTGGGCATGCCATTATGACGAATCCCTACAAAAAAGGAAAGTTCTTGGCAGTCTGACAAAGCCTGTCCGCAATGAGTGGGAACATTTTCCCTCACATCATGGCTGTCCACGATGCCTGTGCTTCACACTTTGGGCAAATATGCACGTGTCTGCGCTGAGGCAATGTCTAGGTTCATGTCTTGTGTCCCTTGTGGGTTCTTCTTCGGGGTTGCACAGATAAAGGGTCTGTGAATCCACGAGGCACTGGTTCTATCCCACGCATAAGCACACGATTTCGTCATTAATGTGGTGGGGGGGAGGGGTGGAGATTGTAGTGGCGGTGTCCCCGTACACAGGTACCGAATGGGACACGGATGACCTTGTCCCACAAGCAGCGGAAGTTGCTCTATGCGCGCGCGTGTGTGTGTGTGTGTGTGTGTGTGTGTGTGTGTGTGTGTGTGTGTGTGTGTGTGTGCATTCGTTCTGCTGAAGCTCACAGCTACGAACAGTTTTTTTTTTTTTGTGTGTTATGAGAGAGAGAGAGAGAGAGAGAGAGAGAGAGAGAGAGAGAGAGAGAGAGAGGGAGACCCCGCAAGACAACTTCATCTGTACATGTACCTGGACCCCAGCTGCGACCCCACCCATGTTTGCCCTTGTGCAGCAAAGATCTGACTTTTGTGACTTGCTATATCGCGCTGTGGTTTCGTAAAAGTATCCAAGGAACGTGGTATAGATTCCAGCCACATACAGCCCCGAAATGCCAAGCATATATGTCCTATTG